AAAAAAAAAAATAAATAGCGTGTTATTAACATTTATTGTTTTTTATGGGAAGGGGTGGGCGTTCTGTACATACACTCACGCACACACGTAAGCTTGTATTTTATGCGTGAATGCATAAATATCTACAATAATATTGAGATATTTACTGATCAACATCCTGGAACATTTTGAATTTCCCGCCACTTGCGACGTTGCCGTTGCGTTTCGGTCGAGCTTTTATTTAATTTTTTATTTATAAACGAATCAGACGATCGTCGCAAAACTTGGTATACATCAAATTAATAACATTATCTGTAACATATAAAAAAATTGGCCAAATTCACTGGCCCAATTTGCTTAAAACTGTGATTTAGTCAGTTCTTCCATAAGCGACAGTGTTAAAATGACTTAACTTTGAAATTCAATATCTCGAAAACGAAACAGAGGAACCTCTTTAAATTTTGACTGGTTTATTGTAACAACAATAAAAACGTCTGGTCAAAATTTCAGAAAAATTCGTTGGAAAATTCAATCACTACCGAACGTCCTTAACCTGTACAGTGTTTCGATTGTAACTTTTTTACATCAAAATAACTTTTCAGTTTTTTAATCTTTTACACCAGTTTTCACGTGAGAAAAAGTAACCAATTCCTTACGTTACACCATTAAATTATCTACTTTAAAGTGCATAATTTTATAAGAGAGGAAATGAAAATATGGACAGTAAATGTGGGTAATTTGTATTTTAGTAGAAAACAGCGTCAACAAAATTAAAAACCAATCAGTTAGTATTTTATCTACAATTTTAATTTAGGTACATACACATATTGTATAATTGTAAACGTGCCGATGGATAAAATGATGTTAAATATCTTATACTTGCAGAGATGGCCACTATTAAACCAAGTCCGTCATTCACTGGCAGACGTCACGAGCAGAGTTGTTCGTTGCAAGGCTGGGAACTCCGGTGACCGACGACCCTATATTATCCTCTCGACTTTAAGCTTTAAGCATTCAACCTGGAATCACTCCAAGGTCTACGTTGGGAGAACCTAGCCATGAAGAAAATATAATAAACGTGAGCCAACATGACAGTTTATAACATGCAAGCATCACGAACCAATTTCTCCACCTTAGATCATCAAAACAACTGAGTCTGCCAATAAAGGTGCTTTAGACACCAACGTCTTCGACGCCATACTAGGAGACGTTGGGAAAGAGCTCTACAACTAGTTCCAAATCTTCAAACGTTGTAGTTTTCTTCCTGATCAGTGTGGTGCTGCAACAACAGGCCAAAGATCATCCTGAGATTTAGAGGCAATCACGTTTGCTGGAAACCTCAGTCAAGAAAGAGTTTACTTAAGATGCTCACTGGTCCTTTTCAGGGTCATCGGAGGTCAAACTCTCTTGCCAACAAATATATTACAACCTTATAAAGTTGAAAAAAATAGCCTTGAGGACTTACAAGAGTCTCAACTATGCCAAAAGTCACAAGAAGTTGAATTACAATTTTAGGCGTCAAGAAAATGACGAAAGAATTTATTAAGTGTCAGATCATTTTTTCACTACAACCCTTATAGTAATCTCTTGAATCTTCCAGATTTTTAATTAGGTAGAATTTGTATTTTTGTTGCGATAAAACACGTAGAGATTAAGCTCCAAAACTTTGTTGCTCTGGTTTAAAGTTGTAAGGTAAGAAAAAAAATTTTCAATTATTAATTTTTTGTGAGCTTTGAATCTTTACAGCTTTTAAAAATAGCCATGTTCGTAGATTATACGGGAGAAACTGCAAATCAACGGCCTGTTAAGGCGAACGATTATTTTATGACATAAGAAATGCACGGTACTTTTTTGCATAATTATATTTTTTTCACTTTTTATAGCTTTTTACTAGACCGAATAAACTGTATGGATTCCAAACAAATATGTTTTTAATAAAAAGTGTTTTGTTCTGAGAAGTGTCAGTAATAGATGTAAATTTTTTAACCAAAAATGTTACCATTACATGTTAACACACTACGGTGTTGCACTACGGTGTTGCATGTAGTGAGTCTCAGGCGAAGCCGAGATGGGGGGGCGCTAGTCATTATATACGTAAAAGAAAATTTAGAATGCTTACCTACATAAGCTAATAATAAAAAAACTAGTGGTCAGTGGGTGCTTGGGTACCGAAGTACTAAGTTATACTTCTATGAAATTATTTGACAGATAATACAATTATAAACATAAGTATACCATCTATGAAACGATATTGTGTCTAAAAGTGGTGCAATCATCGTTCGAATGAATGTCCCTACGTTAGTTGTGTGTAGTTTTAATAAATATTTTAATATTAAATAACTAAACCGTNCATATATATAAATATATATTTTTAACGAAACATAAATAAAAGAAATGAAGACAAAATGATACGTTGAATAAAAAAAAAAAAAAAAAAAATATCCACCATGAAGTGGATTTGAACCCTTAAGTGCAAAACAATCTACGAAGGGGCATAAGCCTTATTCATCTTAGCTATCCGAAGGACGGGACGTCTCTCTTTCGAAGTCACATATGTTCATGGATATCCTCTGGAGCTTGTCCTACAGTTTACAGAAGATAGGATGTGTGAAGTTAATAAAATAGTGGTTAATTTTTTGAAAACGTAAATGGATTTGGGAATTTTAAGAGTACGGGAAAGTTTAAAAATAATGTATTGAAATCAAAATTCTGTGTATATAATTAATGAGCATTTAGTTCCACGATTTAATTAAATAAGATTTATAGATAACATTGAAGCCAGAGCGAGAGCAAGTCAGTTAAATTCATACATAGCATGTACTCAGTTGCAGAGTCCAAAGACTCTCAAAAAAGAAAAACTCGTATCGTCGCTTGCTTTGGCTGTGCGTTCAGAGATATACAGCTATATAGCCGACATTTTCACTCCTCTCCTCGTAGGCGCACATTCTGTATACCCCTTCCACGCGTCTCCAAAATGTGCGCCTATATGGACATTTCCACGCGAATCCACTCTTCTCATACCCCTACCGTGCTTCTCAAAAAAAAAAAAAATGTGCGCCTGATTCGGCCGCTTGGCCGCGGCGGGGCGCTCGAACCACTGGAAAAAAGTGGGCACACTCCGTAGCATGGCAGTCAGCAATCTCCCTACTAATCTCTGACCTTAGAACACGTGCTGTGGTGCTGCCCCAGGCTCCAGTCCAGGCTAGTTAAATACAGGGGCGATGGGCGATATTGTTTGAGCCGTGATGGTGAAGGAGGGGTGCCTGATTTGGAATATCCAAGAGGTGGCGGCCTCTGCGAGCTTGCGATTACTTACATACTTACGACGATACCAGCTAGGTTCTTCAGACTAAACGAAATTCAAATTTAGATAAACCAATACGATCTACAGCATGGTTAATCGAACCGAGTCGGGCGGGGGTGATTGCAATTAACAACCGTTTCATTTCCTCTGTTCTCTCTACCCGCAGTTATACCATACGACGATACGGGAGCTATTCACATAGTTTTTTGCTCATTTCATTGTGAACGTTCATATTGAAAAGGGGGTTCCACTGTTCCACTAAACTCAAATTTAGTGAAGAGACTGAACAGACCTATACTGTGTTCTCTTTCAGTCAACATAGTTGCGACCACAGGCACAGGCTTTGTTGCCTGCAGGGATGGGAAATTGCTATGAAAAGGCATTTATGACATGTCACGTGTCACATATGTCATAATTGTCATTTTCGTCTAAAATGTAATAAATGACACAGACATTTGGAACGTGTTTCGGAACGCGTTCGAATATTATTGATCGCCAAATTAACAGTCTTGCCGTTTTTTTCTATGTTTAAACAATTATATCCCAACTTTGTATAGTGTTTGTGTGGAGGTCTTTCTTTGTCACTTATTTTACGACAAACTTTTTAATTCCGCTTGCCTTAAACCTGTGTCCCGCGTACTTATTAACTTATATTTTTGTTCTTGAAATTTCCACAAGGAAGAAGTTTGGTAGTATCACGCTGTATTTAAATGGTAAAAAGTTTTAACTCGTGTCGCGAGTCGTAATACTCGCAATTCGGCCAAAAGATTACTAACCTACCCTAACAAATACAAAAAAAAATTTACCGTGTCATAAAGACATGACTTAAATGACACGGCCATCCCTGGTGATGTGATGCGCAATCCCGCCAGCAGCAAAGCAGACGACGTCGGTCTACTTGCTCTTTTTCGTGACATTTTCTGATTGTAAACAAAGCATATTGTGCTAGACGTAAACAAACACGCAGACCAAAAAAAATAGTTTCAAGTGCCAAAAAGAAAAATGGAAATAACAGCTTTACTCACTGCTAGCGGGATTGCGCGGGATCACAGCAAAAATGTCACGAAAAAGAGTAAGTAGACCGACGTTCTCTGCTTTACTGCTGGCGGGATTGCGGATCACATCGCCAGTAAATCGACAGTAGCGCTCCCAACCACGCAACGTTGTCACGTCTTACACATGTAACTGCTGGCGGCGATTGCGGATTACACCCATAGCCGGGATAGCCACCACCTTAAAAAAAAAAAAAAAATGGGCTAAAGTCATGCCAAGTCAGGCCAAGCTGCGCCCAAGTCAGCGCTGTATTACAAACCCACTGAGGTCAAGCTGCGGCCAATGTAGGCGACGTGACAGCCAAGCTTGGGCCCAGTTTTCGCCTTTATTTTCAAATTCTACTTGGGAAGCTGTTTTCGCCCACTATTAGCTTCTACTCGGAAACTTTTCATTTGGAATGTCCTAAATGAAAAAATCGAACGTATTATTCAGAACGCTCCGAATAAAAAATTGCTTGCATACCCGCCTACCCGGGTACGCTCGTCAGCGTCAGTGTCAGTTGTCAATACACCATTCTTGATTATACTCGGAACGAGTCATATGTAGTGCGCATTATTGCGTACGCGTGCAGGGGTCATGTGCTGGGCAACGGTACAGTTGCACGTGCTTACCTGCAGCGCACGCAGTGTTCTGAGGTTTAATTTTGTTACCGCGCGAATCCATCCAGCGGCAGCACTACGGCTATCCCGAGCGTATTTTGGTATCTTAAAAAGACAGTCGGGAGTGTATCAGTCGACTGAGTTGACACTACTACGGAAGTCCATTGGTAACGAGTACTCGACGAGTTGTTCCTATATCCGCACTAAGATGTCAGCGTCAGCTAGTTTTTCGTCCGTACAACGTGGTGCTCCCAATTCTCCGGACTATCGCATTTTTTTCCGTTAGTAATTTTAATGTTCCATAATTTATTCATGTTGCCTAAATTTTTTTACAACTAACCTCGAACACGAAAGTCAGCCTTTAGTCAATGTCTCACCATCTTCAACTTGCTCGATTATAATTCTTTACAGTGTAATTAGCTATTCAGTAACTTATGATGTATTTTCTGTTGTTGATGTAAGGACTTACTTTTTTTTCACTTTATTATGTTTTGAATTATCATCAGTGACCCCCCAACATTCATTGTTTCAATTTATTTGGAGATTTTTTAAGGAACTTAAACGATTAATTATCCATCTCCAGAAAATTAAATTGAATAGTTATCAATGTGATCTGACTTTGTTTCCAGTAATCATACTGGTTACTATGACTGAGTACTTGGGTGTTTACTCAGTTAAGATCCTTTGACTTTTCTCAATAAATCTGCTCGCGATGCAATTACGAAAAACTCTCTGTAATCGATAGTCTTGGTCATTCAAGGCCGTGCGGCGTAATGATCTGCGCATCTATAATTTCCATAACCAATTCATATTGACCATTTAGCATTACCTAAAAAACTGCCACTTTATCATACCTTTGTTAATCCGTTTGGTCAAATGTATCTTGGTAGCCTAAGAGTTATTAAATGTCATAATCGCGTAACTCTGTTGAAAGTAAATCATTATAGCTTCTGATAATGGTTGACGGCTCTTACAACCAAAAACTAAGTACTCAGTGTGTGTTACCTTGGGTATAAACTCGACACTCACCCCCTACAGTATCCTAGCAACTGCAAGAGCATGGGTGTATATGAAATTCTGAATGTAATAAATTTTGTCAAAGTGTGTTTTGCGGAGATACTGAAGTTTGCTCTGTAGTCATAAAATATACAAAAACGCATTTTGTTTCTTAAACATTTCAAGTGTGTTTCAAGTGTACATAAAAGAGCAATTTGAACTTTCTAACAGTTATGTATAGCTTCAAAGATTATTTACTGACGTCATTATAAAAGATTTAGTTGAAAACACTATCTTGTTACTCTACAGCTTCAATACCTTTCTTATCTTGTCACACTCATAAGACATTAACAAATAAGCTGCAAAGGGAGGGGGGGGGGGTACAAGACTGCCATGGCGCAAAGCATTGCACTTCATGCCCAAGGTGAAATAAGAAAATGTCCTGATACGAAAACTTGCCTGTTAATCAAGTTCAAAAGCTTTTACTGAAATGACCATTTACTATATTATATAATTTTTCAATATTAATCCCTATATCATGCTGAATATTTTTAAAAAACTGGGTGTTAAGCTTTTGTTACTTGTTAACAGATTTTTTTTGGTAATACCCAGCTCAAATGTACTGAAATATTTAATTATCTTTCAAGAGGACTTATAATTTTTCTATACTTAATAAACAATTAACAAACGAAATTTTAATGTATTCAAATAAAGTATAAACCAAGCTTGCATAGATACTACTTATCAGTTGTGATAGAATAATGAACAAAATTACATTGTAGAAAATGAATCACATCCAATTTCACCAATGCACGACATACCCTTGTATGCGGATGAAGCTAACAAGATATTCCATATGGTGGTAGAAGTCCCGAGATGGACAAATGCGAAAATGGAGATCAATTTGAAGGAACCACTAAATCCTATTAAACAGGATATCAAAAAAGGCAACCTTAGATTCGTTGCCAATTGTTTTCCACATCATGGATACATATGGAATTATGGTGCCATACCACAGGTGTGAAATTTTTTTAAAGCTTGAGTGTACTATGCCGTTTTTGTTTTTTTCACCTTTATTCATAGTTTTTAAGAATACAATAAACAATAAATTGCATATTTATATTTCCACTCATGTTTGCTTTTAAGTTATTTTATACTATCATAAAAAAAAATTTATTTTATGTTCTTACAGACCTGGGAAAATCCTGAAGTATTAGATGCAGAAACTGGTTTCAAAGGAGATGGTGATCCCATTGATGTTTTAGAAATTGGTTACAAGGTGTTGAAGTAATATTATAACAGTTACGAATAATTATTTGTAAATAAATCATTTTTTTAGGTTGCGAAGAGAGGAGAGGTATTAAAAGTAAAGGTTCTCGGTACGGTAGCTCTCATTGATGAAGGTATTGCCATTATTTCGAAATATTTTAATTTTTTTAGTGCCCTGAGAATAGTGGTGCTAAAAAAAGTATAACTATACTATAAATTACTACATTTTTTAGGAAACCTAAGATATACTCACCTTATAATGCAAATCATTACGTTTACAATAGTTTTTATTTTACTTTAAATTATTATTATTATTAGTATTATTATTGGTATAATTGTTATTCTGTAGTAGCCTTACAAAAATTACTATGTTTTAACAGTAAAAATCGTGATATTGTAATTTTTACTGTACAACATAGTAAATTTTAGTGTAATCATTACGAAATGTTCCACATTCTAAAGTAGAATTTACTATGACATTGTAAAATTTTTGATTCCACTGCATTGCCATTCAGTATACTAAAAATAACTGTATTCGAAGGTAATTTTATGCGATATTTATCGGTATACATGTCTATAGAGTTTCAAATTTAAAGTTATATGAATGTACACATTACAAGAAATATATTTTTTTATTTATAAGGGTTAAAAATTGATACCTGCAGACAAATAATTTTAAATCGACTAATTATCCGTTGTTAACACAGTAGTGTACAGGAAAATCTTTGATTTTTAACTTAATTATGTGTATCATAAACAGTACACGTTCCTACATGTACTTTATGGATACTAAGGTTCAAATCCCGGTCACTGCAGAAATTTAAAAAAGAAGTATTCTCTTAATATATCTATATCTATAATCGTAAAGAAAAAAAAATCTACATAAATAAAACCTACATCTTAATCTTCTGTTAGTTACATATTTCCTGTGCATAAATAATATAAGTATATATTTAACTCTTTCTTGAATATAAAAATTATTTTTAATAAACAAAGTAAAAGTCACTGTTGAATGGCGAATTTAAATATAATCTGGTTGTACTGTGTAGCATGGTAATGTTTATTGTATGGTGAGTATGTCTCAGCTTCCCTAGAAAATGAGTCAATTTTTATTATAGTAATAATACTTTTTTAACACTACTTTTCTCAGTGTGAGTAATATACTGTAAGTCTCATAAACTATGTTTTAGGTGAAACTGACTGGAAAATTATTGCAATTGATGTTAATGACCCTTTGGCTAGTCTAATCAATGGTAAATATTTCGTAACCTTCAGATTAATGTATAATTTTATGTTATGATAACCTCGCAAAGTAAGTCGTACCTATGAATGAATATTTACAATTTTTGATTGTCCTTTTGACATGAGTAAAAGTTAATAACTATTGGAAATATGCCTGGACCACGTGACACGGCGATATATATATATGACTACTAGAGGAAAAGAAGTACAGGTCTCATGGGAGAAATTAAGTTTTTATTGTTTTTCGTGGTGGAAATGGTGTTGAATTCAAAAAGTTATTGGATCACATATTTTAAACATTATGAAAGTTAAGTTGTTATTTTTTTCATACGATGAAATCGTTTATTAAGGCGTAAACAGGCGTAAACGCATTTTGAAGGTACGAAGTACAGTTAACTCTACATTGAGCTACTCGTTTCTGCTGCTACTGCTGCTGCTATGGCTGTTGCGACTGCTCAGAGGTAAAAAAGCAGCTTGATGTTAGGTTAAACTGTACTTCGTACTTTTAAAAAGATGGTTTTGGCCTTATTAAACGACTTCATCATAAAAAAAAAAAAAAAATAACAACCTAACTCTTACAATGTTATAAATATGTACTCCGGAAACTTTTTGTGTTAAACATCTTTTCCACCACGAAAAAAAAACAAAAACTTAATGTCTCTCATAGAGCCTGTACTACTTTTCCTCTAGTAGTCATATATATCGCCGTGTCACGTGGTACTGGCATATTCCCAATATACTCAGAAAAGAGCACGAGTACGATGTCTTGGGTGCCATTACTTATTTTATGATAACATCAAGTGGTACCTTACTAAAAATAAGTATTTTTTACTATTGTCACCATATGTCTATCTCTCTTCGTTTCCGAGATAATTCTTATTAAAAATTAAGGCACCAGTATATCATGGGTGCCCACATAAAGAGGGATAGGTCCGCTAACACGCCATGTATGTGCGACGCCCATGATATCGTACTCTCCCCAGATAAAATATAACAGTAAAATATTTTCAATCAATGTGTGATTGTTAACAAAATTAAGCTAAAGTTTTCTCCATTTTCACTTTCAATAAAGTAATTTAGGGGCAACGAATAATTTCGTTTATTATTTGACAGTTACTGAAGATTGTAATATTTCTACATTGTAGACATCAGGCATGGATACATATTTTTAAACAAAATCATGTATATATATGAGAGTCGGATCGTTCATTGCATAATTAGGAATGTGTATGTAACGATGAACTGACTCTGATATGATACAATTTGGCAGATTTGGTACAAACAATGAATGAACAAACTGCTAAATTAAACGCAACCATCGTACAAGTACAAGTTATTAGATATATCGAATAGTCAGTTTCATTGCATGGTGCAATAGACATGTTGCATAGTTAGTAAGGAATATTACTCTGAGGAATATTAATCAAATGTTGTAAAATTTATAAAATTGTTTGATTAACTCATAAATACTGTTACTTTGTAAAATGTTTAATTTACAATTTTATTTGAAATAAAACTTATTGTTCAGATGTTGGTGATATTGATAAACATTGCCCGGGATTATTGAAGGCTACAATTGAATGGTTTAAATTATACAAAATCCCAGATGGCAAGCCAGAAAATCAATTTGCTTTCAATGGAGAGGCCAAGCCAAGAGATTTCGCTTTAAAAGTCATTAAAGATGTACATAATCATTGGAAAAGTTTAATTAAAAAAGATGTAAGCCCGACTAATGTGTCATGGTAAGTTGCAGAATATCGAGTTGAACAGTACTGTTTGTCACATAATTAAGGTCTTTTTTTCAGTGCTAATGTAACTATTCAAGACAGTCCATATCTCATAACGGCAAGCGCAGCTCAAGAAATTGTCGACAAATTACCAGCATTAGAAGAATCATTGCCCATCGATCCTACAGGTAGGTTGTCATCTATGTTGTATGAAGCTTATGCTAGTAATGCTGTAACAATTTGTTTTTTTTTCTTTTTTTTTTTATAGTTGGTAGTGATTTTTATCATATCAATCAATTGTTAAACAAACTATAGTTGAGTCTACTTTTGTTTCAATTTTTTATATATTGTATTAATAAATCTTTACATTTTGCACTGATTACTAATTTCTTTTATTTAAATTAACTCAAATCTGTAAAAATTTCAGTTCATAAGTGGCACTATGTACATCTCCAGTGAAGATAGATTATCCAGTATTTGTATAAAATACTGTAAATGGGTGCACAGCTACATAGCGAAACTGTGAGGTTCATGTTTGTCATTTATTTTCAAATATTTTTATTCTAAAAAACTAATTTTGCAAACTCAAGGTTTTTATAATTACTATTCTTAAAAGTTTTATCATTTATTGTGAATGTAAAATAATGATCTATGCTTAAAAGTTTTGTATATGAGGTAATACTATTGATTATAATGTATTCAAGCTGAATGTTACTTCATTCATCGTAATGCTATTTTTTTCATTAAAGAAACATTAAAGTACTTTTAGATACTTTCTAACTTTGTTTTTATATTAAGTCACTTCAAAAAATCCAGTCACTTATAAACTTTAAAAATATTTAAAATAAGTTTAATTAGTTGAAGAGGCTATTGTGACCTGTTATAGCACCTGTTGTGTATTGTAATTGGGTTTGAATAAAGGAGCACAAGGGAATTGTTACTTAAGGGGGCTCCTTCACAAAAGTCCCCAAACAGAGATATATTATTTCTTGTAAATAAAAGTCTACTGAATTTAATGGTGGTCTAAATAATATTTCGAATGGGTCAAAATTTTGAGAAATCCGAGCTCAAAGTTGTAACTATTAGCACGT